CTACTCCCCCTCCCTCCCCCCCCTCCATCCCCCCCTCCCTCCCCCCTCCCTCCCCCGCCCCCCCCGACGCGCCGTCCATCGCCCTCTCCTCGAGAAGCGCCTCGCCTGCGGCGCACCTCGCGCTCTCGGAGGAGGCCGGCGCCGAGGGAACAGGGCTCCTGGGAGCTGCCCGGGGGGGAGGGCAAGCCGAGCGGGGAGAGGAGGAGGAGGAGGAGGAGGAGAGGAGGAGGAGAGGAGGAGGAGGAGGCGAGGAGGAGGAGGAGGAGGAGGAGGAGGAGGAGGAGGAGGAGGAAGAGGAGGAGGAGGAGGAGGAGGAGGAGGGGGAGGGCAAGCCGAGCGGGGAGAGGGGGAGGGCCCCGCCGCCGAGGTCTGAGGCGCCGGGCGCCCCGGGCGCCCGCGGACGCTCCGCGGGAGTCGCGCGTCAGCGCCCCGGCGCGGCCGCCCCGCCTGCCGGTGGTTCGGGGGTGGACAGAACCCCCAACAGTTTGGACGCCCGAAGTGGGTACCGAAAGAATGGGCACAATGCCCAACAACAAATGTTGTCCCAAACCAGCAGCGGCCGCTGTTTGGCAGGCGGCCTTCTGTCTCGAATGGACACAGGCCGCGGCGGCGCGGACAGCGAGTCCTGTTCAAAATGAACAGGAACTGCTGTTGGGCATTGTACCCATTCTTTCCGTACCCATGTCGGGCGTCCATAAACAGTGACACGTCGATCAGTGAATTGTCCGTTTTCGGTTCTCGAGAGGGCGCCGTGGCCGTTATTTTCCAGGCTGGCGCCCGCCAGGTTTGGGCCTCGGGTCGTATTCACTGAACCGCGTTTTGCTAAAGGCGGGTCTGTCCATCCCCGAGTGGTGATGTTCGGTACAGGGGAGACCGATGCCGCGAAAAGCCTTTCTATAGGGGAACAAAAAGTGGCATGAACATAAAAACTCGGAGGTCCGCGCGGATTTCTCGGATCGGCGCTGGACCCCCCTCCCTGGCGCGCTCCGCGCGCCAGGGGCGGCGCCGGAGGCGCCGCAGTGGGGCCCCAGTGCCGATCCGAGAAATCCGCGCGGACCTCCGAGTTGTTATGTTTGTGTCACTTTTTGTTCCCCTATTCTAGGCCTCCCAGATGGATTCGGAGGATCGCGCCGCATCGCCGACGCATCGCCGATGTCGCTCGATGCGGAGCCCAGTCTGCTTCACGTCGGCGTCGCCAGTGCATCGCCCACGTCCACGATGCATCGGCGATGCGGCGCGATCCTCCGACCCCATCTACTTCGACCTCATCTAGGAGGCCTCTGGTGATGATGCTCCGTACAGTGGAGACCCATGCCGAGAAAAGCCCTGCTTGCCTCTAGGGTGCCTTGGGTTTCTTGGGCCTCGGTGGTTTTGCTATGGAAGGCGTGACGCTCCCACACCAACAATGAGTGGACGTCCTGGGGTCTCAGGGTTGGGTTTCTTGTGGTCGAGCCTCTACTGTAGTCAATCATGGGAGATCTTCATTCGTGGGTGTGCTGGTCATTTCTGAGGGGGCGAAAAGCGGAATAACATAAACTGTTCCGATGCCGCTCGATGCGGAGCCCGATCTGCTTCACGTCGACGTCGCCGATGCATCGCCCACGTCGACGGTGCATCGCCGGTGCATCGCCGATGCATCGCCGATGCATCCCCAATGCATCGACGATGCGGCGCGATCCTCCGACCCCATTTACTCCGACCCCATCCAGAAGGCCTCTAGAAGCCCCGCCCTCGGCCCGGCGCGGCCGCCCCCCCTCTCAGTGATGATGTTCGGAACGGGGGAGACCCATGCCACGAGAAGGCCTGCTTGCCTCCAGGGCGCCCTGGGCTTCTTGGGCCTCGATGGCTCTTGCTGTGGAAGGCGTGGCGTTCCCGCAGGAGGGAGGAGGAGGAGGAGGAGGAGAGGAGGATGAGGAGGAGGGGAGGAGGAGGAGGAGGAGGAGGAGGAGGAGGAGGAGGAGGGCGGAGGAGGAGGAGGAGGAGGAGGAGGAGGAGGAGGAGAGGAGGAGGAGGAGGAGGAGGAGGAGGAGGAGGAGGAGGAGGAGGAGGAGGAGGAGGAGGAGGAGGAGGAGGAGGGAGAGGAGGGGAGGAGGAGGAGGAGGAGGAGGAGGTAGGAGGAGGAGGAGGAGGAGGAGGAGGAGGAGGAGGGGAGGAGGAGGAGGAGGAGGGAGGAGGAGGAGGAGGGAGGAGGAGGAGGAGGAGGAGGGAGGAGGAGGAGGAGGAGGAGGAGGAGGAGGAGGAGCACCAGAAATGAGCAGACGTCCTCCGTAGCCATCTCAGCTCGAGTGCGCCCTGGCCCAGCGTGCGGGCGGTGCGCCCCTGCTTGAGCGCGCGGCGGGCCGGGCCGCCACTCGCCTCGGCTGCGCCGCCCCGGTGGAGGGGGCAGCAGCCGCGCCGGGCGATGACGCGGCGGGCGGCGCTGGCGGCCGGGCTGCTGCTGGGGGCCCTCGCGGGGGCCTCTGGCAAGGACATCCGAGGGAGGCTTGTTCTCGGGGGCACGCAGCAGATGTCCGGGAGGTTCAGTTACTACGGGGAGCAGTCGCTGAACGTCCTGAATATGTGGAAGGGGCTGGTGGACGCAGATGACAGCTTCCCCTACAACATAACGCTTTCTTTCGAAGATGACGAATCGTCTTCGAGCCTCTACACTTCGAAGCTGGGCGACATGTTGATCCCCCGCACCGCGGACTCCCCAGACGTCGTCATCTGCCCGTACACCTCCGGGGCCACCAAGCTGGTCTGCGACTTCCTGGACGACAGCAACGTATCCGTGCTGTGCGGCATCTGGGGAGCCGCGTCGGAGAGCGTATTCGAGTACCCCGAGGGCGGGAGGGGCCTCAACCTGCGGGTGCAGTCGACCGGCAAGGGGGGGAACTACTTCAAGGCGGGCCTCGAGCACTCCTTCGAGCAGCTCGGCGCCGCCGAGGCCGCCAGGCGCCTCTCGGGCACCGCCCGCGTGCCGACCGCCGCCTTCATCTGGCGCCAGACCGACGCCTTCAGCAAGTCGCTCTGCATCGGGGCCATCGACGCGGCGACCGCGCTGGGGTTCAACATCACCCTGCAGGCGGCGATCGACCCGCTGGTGGACGACGATGGTGGTGACTCCATCTATCAGCAGATGAAGGACTGCGACGGCATCGGGACGGTCCCCTTTGTCGACATGTTCGACGTCACCCAGTACGGCCTGAACCCGCTGGTGGACAGCCCAGACCTGGCCGACGTCGTCGTCGGGTGCGGCCTCTACGACAGCCAGACCGCAGTCGTCCTCGGCCTGATCGCCAGGGGCATCCGGCCGAAGTTCACCTTCATGACGAACGTCAACAATGCCAAGCTGCTGGCGAGCGTCCTGCCCTACAACACGATCGACGTCTTCATGCCGACCCCGTGGACTCCGACGGCGCCAGGCTCGGACGAGGTGTGGGGCACCGGCCTGGACTTCTACGAGGGCTACATGGCGCGGTTCGGCAAGGCGCCGTCGTACCATGGCGCGGCCCTCGCAGGCTGGCTGACCATGCTGACGCGTGCCCTGAAGCGCTCGGCGGACAGCCACGCGTGCTCCGGCGGGGAGTGCGAGCTGGATGCGCACGCGCTTCGAGCTGCGTACGAGGTGCCTGAGGTGACCTTCTACGGCACGATCGGCCTCAACGAGTACGGCATGAACGAGGATATGCCCTTGATTCAGGTGCAGACCCAGCTGGGTGGCGGAGGGTCGTTCGTGCAGGTGCCGGCTATTCCTGTCGACAAGGTTCCAGACTCATGGACGGCTGCGGATGGGATGCTCCCAAGGTGGCCGGCCCGTTCGTGGTCGGAGGCGAGAACCGACTTCATCAATTCCTACTGCGGCTCCGAAGGCGTGTACATCGACTCATTTACCATGATGAAGGTGGGGCTGGAGCGAGCGGCCAACCACTTCGTCGACCATGGCACCTCCAGCCCGCCGGTCGCTGGCGACATCGCCGAGTGCATCCAGTGCCAGATGGGCAGGAGCCGGTCCAGCAGCTTCGCGGAGTGCTACCCGTGCGCCGCCGGCACGTTCGCAGCCTCGCCGGGGCAGGCCGAGTGCGAGCTCTGTCCCGTGGGCTCGGCCGTGGGCTCCGTGGGCGCCCTGGAGTGCGGCAACTGCACGGTGGGCCGGGTGGCCGGGGAGCGGGGCCGCAAGGTCTCCAGCAGTGGCGAAGCGTCTTGGCTCGCCTGTAGCCCCACCAAACAATGTTCTAGGAACCTTGTGTGGTTTCCCACGAGATGTTCTCAGAACATGTCTGGCCGAGCCTGTGTTGTTTTATCACATCGGGTTTATGTTCTAAGAACATTGCTTTTGTTCTTAAAACATTTTTGGGTTCTAAGAACAGTTCGTGGTAGGACTTTAGAAATGCCAGGACGGTCGGTCCCTGCTCAAAGGTCTGCCAGGACTGCGAGCAGGGGCGCTTCATGGCGGAGGAAGGCCAGTCGGAGTGCACCAACTGTCCGGTGGGCAGGTACCAGCCGGGGGTGGGCCAGAGCGAGTGCCTGCAGTGCACGGACCTCGACGGCTCCGAGATGACCACCCAGTTCCTGGGGTCCACGGAGTCGGCGCAGTGCATCTGCCCCGAGGGCAAGTTCAAGGAGCAGGACAACGAGTCGTGCCGGGAGTGCCCCGCGGGCATGGTGTACAGCAGGGCCGGGCCCGCGGCTTTCCCGTGCAGCTGCCCCGCGGGCACCTTCCTCGGCTCCAGCCTGGGCGAGTGCCTCCCGTGCCCGAGCGGCATGGCTTGTGCGGCTGGTGTGGGGGCCCCCACCTTGAAGCCGGGTACGTGGGCGCACCTCTCGGACGAAGAGGGTCGGAGTTACAGCGTCTACCGCTGCCGCGACAAGTTGCAGTGCCCCGGGGGGCCTGCGGGCACCTGCGCGGACGGCCGCGACCCGGACATTGTGGGCTGCGCCGCCTGCCTCGCGGGCCACGTGCCCACCTCGGGCGGCCACACGTGCAAGGTGTGCGGGAGCGCGGACTACGTGCCCCTCGTCTTCACCATTCTGCTGCTGCTGGTGGCCGGCTGCCTCATGGTGTACTTCTCCACCGTCGACGTGACGAAGACGAGCGTCAACATGGTGGTGGCCCTCGCGATCTGCGGCCAGTTCGTGATCGTCATCCAGTGGTTCTCCGTCTTCCAGGGTCTCGACGTCGTCTGGGTCGAGCCTTTCTCCTCCGTGGTAAAGTTTGCCGCCATCTTTTCCTTCAACTTCGAGTACCTGAAGGTTGGATGCTTCCTGGAGACGTCTAACGAGGTCGTCATCTTCGCGTTGAGACTGATGTGTCTCCCCGTGCTGGCGGGGGGCCTCGTGCTCATGATGTTCCTTCACTCCAAGTACAAGGGCCTCACGCTGGACACGGACCAGGTCATAAACTCGGTGGGCCTGATTATGATGGTACTCTTCTTAGCCGTGACCCTGGCGGTCGTCAGTCCCTTCATGTGCGCAGACAGCCCGAACGGGACGCAATCCATAGCGTCGAACCCCTCGGTCATCTGTGATGATAATGGCGAGTTCGTCACTCTCGTCGTGCTCGCAGTGATAGGTTTGCTCGTTTACTCTGTTACGCCAATGGCACTCGTCACGTATGTGACGTTGAGGTACCCCGCAATCGTCGCTTCGGGTCATGCCAGCACCATACTGACGAGGTATCGCTTTCTGTTCCAGCGATTCACGGTTGAGCGCTATTACTACGGGCCGATCTTCTTCTTCAGGAATTTCTTAATGGCCGTGGTGCCCGTGATCTTCGTCAATTTCGCCCACTTGCAGGTCATCGTCCTGGCCGGCATGTTCGTTTTCTTCGCTTTGCTCTCTTGCTCGCTCAAGCCGTGGCGCGGCCGAACCCCAAATCTCGTGGAGGCTCTATTGATGGGCAACTTCATCCTCGCCCTCATGGTCGCTGGGATCCTTGTGGATGTCGACGTGGACGGTGTCACGAAAGATCTGCAGGTCATCCTCTTGGTCGTCGTGATTGGCATGTCTTTCCCCTTGTGCATCTTCCTAGGCCAGCTGGCCTACAGGAGCCTGCTGACCACCTCGAAGACTTACGGAATGTTCCTATCCCACCACAAGCTTGGGATGGCGGCAGGGGCGCGCGTGGCCAAGATGGAGCTGTCCCGGCGCACTGGCAAACGGATCTTCTTGGACTCCGACGAGCTCGACGACCTGGACTCCGTCCTGGACACGGTGCGCAACGGGACGGAGTGCTTGGTCGTGATGCTCACCACCGAGACACTCTGGCGGCCCTGGTGCGCGGGCGAGATCGCCGTGGCGCACACCAACTCCACGCCCATCATCTGCCTCTCCTCGGACGGATACACGGAGCCCTCCGATCAGAACCTCACGGTCAAGAGCTTGAGCGAGCGCTGGAGCGTCGAGCAGTTCGCGCCGATGGCTCTGGAGGGCGTCACCTTCGAGACGGTCCGCGAGGCGTACCTGTCCCTGCGCGGGCAGAGCAAGATCTCGTGGAAGCGCGCGGGAGCGTCGGTCAGCCCACAGATCGTCCTCGACGCCATGGTGCAGGAGACCATTGAGAGGTCCCACCACGCCAGCAGGAAGGGAACGTCCAACAGCAGGATGTCCAGCGTTGTGGACCGCGCCGCAGCCGAGGTGGTGGTGGTCGCGAACAGTGACGACGGCGAGGCGGTGTCGTCTGCGCAGGTGCTCGCCATCATGATCCGCGCCCAGATGCAGTGGCACACACTGGTTGCCGTGTCGGGTAGAGACCTGAGTCAGGACCAGATGCCCAAGGCGGTCATCGTCAGCCTCACGAAGGACGCGTTCCGCTCCGAGGTCTTCGTGCGGGCGCTGCTCGCCGCGCGCTCGACCTACGGCACCGACCCCTACCTGATGTCGACGCGAAGCGCGGATTTCCAGTTTCCCGTGCCAGAGGTCTTGGACCCGATCCAGAAGAGGCTTGCGGCGATCATTGACGTCGACGTCGTGGAGATAGAAACGGCGATTGCGCCCTTGTTATCCAGCTTGGCGTTGCCCTTTTTCGCAGGCACTCGGGAGTCCCTCGTCGTGGCGGAGGCACAGGCCATCGCGTCCAGGCTCAGGAGGTACACCTCTGCCTCGTCCAAGGCTATCTCCTCGACTCAGGTCCGCTCCTGGTGCCAGGAGAGGCCGGGGCGCGGCAGCGGTGCCGATATGGCGCGGCATATTTATTCGGGAGGATCGTCGAAGGCATCGTCGAGAGATCCGCAGCAGTCGCCGCGGCCCCGTACCTCAGAGGCGTCGGGTGAGACTCATGAGAACGACGATAACAACGAGGTGGTGCCGTCGGCGACGGAGGAGTCAATCTGAGCGGAGCTGCCAGCGTTCTGCTTCTATGTTGTTTACCAAGGCCGCTCTCGCCGGATCCACCTTGCCATGTGCTCACTCCTGTACCAGGGCCGCTCTCGCCGGAGCCACCCTGCCATGTGCTCACTCCTGCGCCCCCCCCCCACGTGCGAGCTGTGTGCCATGCCCATTTTGAAGCCGTCACTGTGCCTTGCCCATTTTGAAGCCGTCATTCCCCACCGCCTTTTGCGTTTCGCGCTGCGCTCGGGAGGGTTCGCGCTCTGTTTTAGCGCAAGGCCAACAAGCACCTGAAACGAGCGCCCTGCCTGCTGCCCTCTGTTTGTCCCCCTCCCGCCTGCCCTCGTCCCGCCGGCCCCGGCCCCCCCACTCGCGCGTTCGTCGTCGCCTGCCTGCTTCTCCCCTCCTCCCTCGCTCCCTCTCTGGGCGGCACGGCCTGCCCAGGGCCGACGTTGCGCAGCAGCGTGGGGCCATCTGTCTCGGAGCTATACCAGGTGCTCCACTCGACGTCTCGGGCAGTCTTGGGGCAGACGTAGGGCTCTGCTCGGACGGTTCGGGGACGGCGTCAGCGCTCCAAGGGCTTCTCTGAGAGGCTGTCCCGAGGCGTCTTGCAGCCGGAAAGTACCAAACAGCCCTGGGCGTTTACCAAACAGCCTTGCTAGGGGGCCACATGCGAACCCTACCCCTACCCCCCACGATTTCGGAGGGAGAGGGTGGGGTTCACTTCGTTCGGGAGCTCTCGAGCGAAGTGAACCCCACTCTCCCCCTCAGAAATCGTGGGGGGTAGGGGTAGGGTTCGCATGTGGCCCCCTTTTTGCCCTGTTTGATTCCTTCCTTGGGTGCGTTTACTAAACGGCTTCGCGTGCCGGGGTGGTGTCATCGGGGTGGCTTTTCTGCCCTCTACCACAGGGGCGCGGGGCTCGGATCCTGTCGGCCACTCCCCCCCCTCCCACGCCTTCGGCGCCGTGGCCCATGTGGTCCTCCTCCTCCCTCCTCCTCCTCTCCTCTCTCCTCCTCCTCCTCCTCCTCTCCCCCCCTCCTCCTCCTCCTTCTCCTCCTCCTCCTCATTCCTCCCTCCCTCCCCCCTCCCCCCCGCCCCTCCCTCCCTCCCTCCCTCCCTCTCCCCCCGACGCGTCATCCATCGCCCTCTCCGAAGAGGGCCTCGCCTGCGGCGCACCTCGCTCTCAGATGGAGCCGGCGCCGAGGCCCGACGTCCGCTCCGAGGGACCTGCCGCTCCAGATCCTGGATCTCTGGCGTATTCTGGTCGGACCTCCGAGCGCCGTGCCGCCACGCTCCCAGGATCAGGGGCTCCCACGAGGGCGCGAAGTTATTCGCGCTTCGCGGTCCTCGATCCTTCTCCCCCTCCTCCTCGTCCTCCTGTTCTCCCTTTGGGGGGCGGCGCGAGAGCGCGAAGTTATTCGCGCTTCGGGCTTCGCGGAGCGCGAAGCGCGAAGTTGGGAGCCCTTGCAGGATCTGGAAAGGCTGACCTCTCGGATCGGACATGTCGCCGCGCCGGTTGTTCAGGCGCGAGGCCTTGCGTCTTGGGGGGGCGCCGCGGCCACCAGGGCAAACCCCGCCTGGGGCGCGGTGGGCTTGCCGTGAGTTTGCCGCGGCGCCGGGCTCCTCCACTTGGGGCGCGGGGCGCAGGGTTTGCCGTGGGCTTGCTGCGATATCGGCATGGTCCCTTTGCCAGAGGCGACGATAGGGGCGAATAGCCCAGGGGAGAGCAATACATGTATTCAGGTGCGCCGATGATCTTTGTCTTCGAAAAGGCTCCCGGGCGAATACGTGTATTGCTCGCCCTGGGCTATTCGCCCCTATCGTCGCCGCCGACTTTGGGCGCGTCGAGAATCAAGCAGTGGCGAAGCGTCCTGGCTCGCCTATAGCCCTACCAAACAATGTTCTATGAACCTTTGTGGCTTCCACGAAATGTCCTTGGAACATTTCTGGCGGAGCCCGTCCCGTTTTCACGCCTCGGGCCTGTGCTCTGAGAACCTTGTGTTTCTTCCGAGAACACCTTTGGGCTCTGAGAACATCTCATGGTAGGACGATGGGAAGGCCGGGGCCGGGCCTTCCCAGCCGGGCCCCGCCCTTCCCATCCGCAGCCGGGCGTGGGCCGAGGCCCGCAGCAGGCGGGCGCGCGTCGTGCCGACCGGCAACGGCCCCGCCGCCGGCGTTCCACGCGGAACGCCGCCAGCGACCCTGCATCGATCCTCCTCCTCCCCTCCTCCTCCTCTCCTCCTCTCCTCCTCCTCCCCTCCTCCCCTCCTCCTCCTCCTCCTGCTCCTCCTCCTCCTCCTCCTCCTCCTCCTCCTCCTCCTCCTCCTCCTCCTCCTCTTCCTCCTCCTGCTCAAGACACATCTCGTCTGGGGCCCACAGCGGACGGCCGGCGGGGGACGGCGGAAGCGAGGCGCCGCGGGGCGGCGCGCGCGGCCGAAGGTGGGCGGCGGGCGGCGGCAGGCGACGGGGCCCCCGGGGCCTCCCATGCGTGGGGCGCTCTCCGGGCTCCGGGCAGGGCCTGGCCGGAGCCCGGGATAGCGGATCGGCTGCGAGCGAGGAGGAGGAGGGGGAGGAGGAGGAGGTAGGAGGAGGAGGAGGAGGAGGGGAAGGAGGAGAGGGGCGAAGAGGAGGAGGGGGAGGAGGGGGAGGAGGGGGAGGAGGAGGAGGAGGAGGGGGAGGAGGAGGGGGAGGAGGGGAGGAGGGGGAGGAGGGGGAGGAGGGGGAGGAGGGGGAGGAGGAGAGGAGGGGGAGGAGGGAGGAGGAGGAGGAGGAGGAGGAGGAGGAGGGAGGAGGAGGAGGAGGAGGAGGAGGAGGAGGAGGAGGAGGGGTGAGGGGGAGGAGGGGGGAGGAGGGGGAGGAGGGGAGGCGGAGGCCTTTTCTCGGGAGGCGGCGGAGCTCCTCAGAGGCCCTCCGGCCCTCTGCGAGGCCTCCGGCGCCCTCGGGGACGGCTCAGGGAGCTTCTCGGAAGTCTGGGCTCGGCATCGCTCGGACGTGTGCATTTTTTCTTCGGCGAGGACCATCGAGGAGGGAGGAGGAGGGGGAGGAGGATTGAGGAGGAGAGAGGAGGAGGAGGAGGAGGAGGAGGAGGAGGAGGGGGAGAGGAGGTAGGGGGAGGAGGGGGAGGAGGGGGAGGAGGGGCAGGAGGTGGAGGAGGAGGAGGAGGAGGGGGAGGAGGAGGAGGAGGAGGAGGAGAGCATCCTTGATCATTTGGCGAAAACACCACGCACGAAACCAAAAAAAAATTACTCACTGCGTGGAGCTCCCCATATGTGCATCTCATGTTTTATGTCATGCCGTGGTGAGCGTCTGTTCATGAGCGGTCGACTACAATAGCGCGTCCATGTGGGCGACAGGGCCGACGAAGACGAGTGACCCCTAATGCGAGTGATTGCGTATGAGTCAGAGTGAGCTTTGAGTATGGTTGAATGCGAGCCTCTTCCTCTTCATCCCCCCTCCTCATGCCAGGCCTTCCCCTTTTCAGCCCGTGGTAGGATAGTTGGCAGTAGGATGTGTAAGGATAGTGTAGGATAGTTGGCAGTGGGATGTGTAAGACGAGCGTTTAGCCACACAAGGCCATAAGTGCATGTCATGTTGGAGGATAGTGCCACGGTGAGCATTTCCAACGATCCCCGCACACAACCACAGCCCCCCCCTCGAGGTCACCCCCTATGAATACATATATATATATGTGTGTGTGTGTCCTGGACTTCGGAACAAACGTTCTGCTCGCGTCAAGGACCTTCGAGCAAAGCGCCCTCCTCCTCCTCCTCCTCCTCCTCCTCCTCCTGTTCCTCCGCCCCCTCCCTTCTCCTGCTCCTGCTCCTCCTCCTCATCCTCCTGCTCCCCCTCCCCCTCCGCACCCCCATGCCTTTCCTCACGATCCCCCGCCTCCTCCTCCTCCTCCTCCTTCTCCTGTTCCTCCTCCTCATCCTCGTTCCTGTCATTTCCCTCCCTGTTGAGCCCAGAAACAAGCGAACCGCCTGAGACATCCCCACAATATGGCCGCGAACGTGCCCGTGCAACCACCCCTGGCGGCTCCCCTTAGGGGTGCTGAAACCAGCGCCCCGCCTGAGACATCCTCACAATCTGCTCTCCAAGCGAAGGATGTTGGGCCCAGAAACAAGCAAACAGCCTGAGACATCCCCACAAAATGGCCGCGAACGAGCCCGTGCAACCACCCCTGGCGGCTCCCCTTAGGGGTGCTGAAATGAGCGCCTCGCTCGAGACATCCTCCAACTCTGCTCCGAAAGCGAAGGATGTTGGGCACAGAAACAGGCAAACCGCCTGAGACATCCCCACAAAAATGGCCGCGAACGAGCCCGTGCAACCACCCCTGGCGGCTCCCCTTAGGGGTGCTGAAACCAGCGCCCCGCCTGAGACATCCTCACAATCTGCTCTCCAAGCGAAGGATGTTGGGCCCAGAAACAAGCAAACCGCATGAGACATCCCCACAAAATGGCCGCGAACGAGCCCGTGCAACCACCCTGGCGGCTCCCCTTAGGGGTGCTGAAATGAGCGCCTCGCTCGAGACATCCTCCAAATCTGCTCCGAAAGCGAAGGATGTTGGGCACAGAAACAGGCAAACCGCCTGAGACATCCCCACAAAATGGCCGCGAACGAGCCCGTGCAACCACCCCTGGCAGCTCCCCTTAGGGGTGCTGAAACCAGCGCCCCGCCTGAGACATCCTCACAATCTGCTCTCCAAGCGAAGGATGTTGGGCCCAGAAACAAGCAAACCGCCTGAGACATCCCCACAAAATTGCCGCGAACGAGCCCGTGCAACCACCCCTGGCAGCTCCCCTTAGGGGTGCTGAAAATGAGTATGCCTGAGTATGAGTAAGTCTGTGTATGAGTAAGTCTGTGTATGAGTAAGTCTGGGTATGAGTAGGTCTGTGTATGAGAAAGTCTGTGTATGTATACGTCTGGGTATGAGTAAGTCTGAGTATGACTAATACTGTGTATGAGTAAGTCTGGGTACGAGTGAGTCTGTGTATGAGTACGTCTGGGTGTGAGTAAGTCTGTGTATGAGAAGTCTGTGTATGAGCATGTCTGAGTGTGAGTAAGTCTGAGTATGAGTAGGTCTGAGTATGAGTAAGCCTGAGTATGAGTAAGTCTGTGTATGAGTAAGTCTGAGTATGAGCAAGTCTGAGTATGAGTAAGTCCGACAGGAGGGGAGGAGGAAAGAGGAGGAGGCAGAAGGAGAGGGAGTAGGAGGCGTCCAAGTAATAACAAGAACCCCATCTTAGGATATGGGGAAAAACACACACACACAAAAAAAAATGAACGTCCGAGCGATGGCGAGAGTCTGGGGGACTTCCGAGGCTTCTGAGGAGGCCCGCCCCTTCGCACTTCCCCCCCGGGCTCGCCGCCGAAGGAAGGGCGTCGCCTTCGAGGGATAGAGAAGCGGAGGGCTCGTCGCACATTGTCC